CATTATTTGAACTCTTGATTTCTGAGAAGTGTTAATGTTGTAAAGTAAAAAGAGAAATGACATATTCAAACTCTTGTTAATCTGGTAAAGTAAAAGGAGAAATGACATATTCAATTAAAATGTGAATATGTCAATTTTGTATTAAAATAATCTTATTTTAATATTGAGAGAATTTAGTCAGAAAGAGTTCTTGATTAGGTTTGACTTACCGATCTTATCAGCATTAGTTAACAAATATTTAATGTAGGACTTTAAAATGAAGCATCATAGGCTGGGTGTGGTGGCTCACACCTTAATCCCAGCACTTTGGTAGGCCAAGGCCGGCGGATCACAAGGTCAGGTGTTGAAGACCAACCTGGCCAATATGGTGAAACTCCATCTCTACTAAAAATACAAAAATTAGCTGGGCATGGTGGCACGTGCTTGTAGTCTCAGCTACTCGGAGGCTGAGGCAAGAGAATCACTTCAACCTTGGAAGCGGAGGTTGCAGTGAGCCAAGACTGTGCCACTGCACTCCAGCCTGGGCAACAGAGCAACACTCTGTCTTAAAAAACAACAACAAAAACAACAACAACAACAACAAACTAGGCATGATAGTGTATTATTATAGAGTTGAATCAAGTAAATTTATTACAATACAAATAAATTTAAAATACTACCTTAGGCTATTTGAATAAAATAATGCAAAGTAACACCTAGCTATTGTCATTTAAAACATAACAGTCAAATTTGGATTGAGAACAGTATTGAATAAATATAAATTAGAGTGCTAAAGCATCTATTGAAAAAATACCGAATGACTGAAATATATAGTATCTGGCTGTAGGTGTTCAAAATTGTATGAATTGAGACATAATAAGGGTATATTTAATGTGTATACATTTAAGATGGATCTATAGTATTTTTGAACTCCACAAAAATGTGAAGTTAATTTTAAGAAGTGTATTAATATGTCCCTCACTGCCACTGCCAGAGACAGGTTATTAAGGCATAGCTGACCACAGGTCCAAGGCAGTGTGGTAATTCTTACACTTTTACAATGGAAATAAATGCATTTTTTAAAATAATATTTTTACATTTAAATTAAGAGTCTGTACTCTTCTGGGCATGGGAAAGTAAGGAAAAATATTTTTTCTTATGTATTGAATTAAAAGAATCATGGCATTGCCATCTAAAACAATGATTAAATAATAATGCCACATTTTATTTCTACTACTACTTATTTCTGCTTCTTTGGGCGGATTATTTGAATATAAAATTCCTCATTTCATGCAGCGTATAATGTATACTCATAGGATTCTAATAGAAGTTAGATATGAATATATTTTTATATGAAAGTACCTGTACTAGGATCTAGCATAAAGTTTAGTAAATATTAACTGAATTCATGGAACATTTCACACAGAAGATGAGATAGAACATTTTTAAGCACATTATAAAAATTAAGAATCCTTGTGTATACATGAAATAATTTTATCTAAGAATTTAAAAATTACCTACAGTAATTTTATCTATTGTTGCAAAACAATAACAGATAGAAAGATTTTAAAGGAAAGTTAAGCAGATGAATAAATATCTAATTATTTGTCCCAAAATGCTAGGGTTTTTGGTTTTCTGCTTTTTTGCATCTTGCAGTGCTACTATCTGCCAGAAAAGTGTGTATAAAAGATATGGTGAATACAGAGAGAGTAGACCTTTCAAGTTGGAAATATTATATAAAGGTAGTTATATTCTCACCACCAAAATAGTGTAATTTGATGAGTTAATCAGAAAAAAAGTATTTTCATGTAACTTTGAGTTTTTCTGATTTTCCTTGCTGTATGAAAATACTTTGGCATAAATTGCTTCATAACCTGTAATCATATTTTTAATTTTTATAAGAGCATTAAGACATGCATGCCACCATAAACAATTTTTCCAAGGCTTCTTAATCACTTTGTGTCATTTTTTTTTCCTGTGTAGAGAAAGAAAAGGGTAAATCAAAATATTTTTCTTTCTGAATGCCTCCATCATGATGGCTAATAAGGGCAACCTTGCAAATATATATAAGAGGAGAAATTCCATTTTAAATTGCTTTAAGGTTCACCTTTGAATTTCATTGTGGTTGGAAGAGTCCCATGACCTTTAAATTTGATGAAAAGAGAGAACAGATATTAATCTCATTATGTTATTTTGAAGTTCTCCCAAAGTGGATGGCTCTAGACCACATTTCTGCAAAATGACAAGAGCAGTTCATATAAATTGATCATTGTTACAGGAAAGACAATATCTAAAGATTTTAATATACCTTCAGTGTTTTAAATCTCATTTCATTCTCTTTGTAATAATTACTATTTCAGAGTTATTATTTAAGAGTTTCAATATATGCCTCACAGTTGTGCTACTAAATGTAGTAACACTCATTTTATAGATTATATTTAGTCCTCTTATATGTAATAACTTTCATTTTAAAGATTATATTTTGTCCCCTTATAAAAGCCAAGCTTATTTTGATATTCTAAAAGTGTTGATTGTGCTTCCTAATAGTATCTGTACACTGTTGATTTTATACAAAGTTATTCCCCTATGCCACAGAAAATTATAATTGAAACACAAAATATTGTAGCTATACAAAATTGTACGAACTGCTCAGGGACATGAAAAATTAACTAACCATGTGTTTCATACAGTAACACGCAGATGAGAATGACAATAAATAAATAAGCCCACTCCAGGTACTGTGTAGGGAACTTCTATCTAGTTTATTTCATCTTTTGAGTAATTATGCTGGGCTTGTATATTATTATTCTCATCCTAATAATAAAAAAATAAATATTTGACATAAGAACAAAGCCTGTGAAAATATAGTAATATGATGTATATCATATATTTCTTGAAGTGTGACTTGTGAATTATTTGCATCAGATTCACCTTGTTAAAATGAAGAATGCTGGCCACAATTCCAAGTTGCTTAAGGAATATGTGGGGCCTCAGAATCTGAATTTTAACATTTCCCATTTTTCATAATCATTATTCTAGCCTGGAACATAAAGGGAATACCATAAAACATACTGTAATTAAGAGCACATAACATACAACTATTGTGGAAGTGGAAGAATAAGATTAAGAAAACAATTTACTATTAATCTTTTTTTTTTTTTCCAGTGCCAATGGCCTAGGAAAAAAAAGAAGTCAAAGAATGTTAAGTCAATACCTTTTACCATGTAGCTATTGACAGCAGGAAACTGCTAAGAGCATTGCCTTCATTTGATGATGTAAAGAAAGAAGGATAAACAATTATTTGAATAGTCAATAAGTATCTGTTTATCTACCTACCTATCCATCCATCTATTCCTGATCCAATGATGCTTAGTTAAAATTCATGGAATTGTTTAAAATGTTAAATCATTTACAGTCCTTTAGTGATCAGCACATAAGATGAAGCTGATTTTCATTGTCCTAAGGTTAAGGGCAGTGGGAAACATCTGCAATTTTAACATGAATGATACAGAGCTATTTGCTGGATGAGAAGAAAAAATAAGAAAAGATTGCCTACGGGGGACATGCAGGGCTTACATGAAGATAATTGTCCCCAGATGAATAGCAAGGAACAGTGTATTTCAATAGTACAGATTAAAGATGACCGGAGCATGGACTATCGATTTTGCTTGAGTAATAGTAAAAAGGAGATGGATACCAGAGACATTATATTCAGCATGGCTATGCAAATAATTTAGTAGGGAATTGGACAGGAAATTTTGATGATCTCCACATATTGTATTTCTTAAATCCTCTGCCATTAATGGCTTTGATCATTGTAGTCCACTTAGAGTATGAAGATTTATGGATTGCTATAAAGATGGCAAAAATACTTGGTCCTAAATCAACCGCTGGAGGAACTTGTGGAGCAGCAAATGCCTTAAGTTATAATTTTGTAAGGTAGGCAACAAGAATAATGATTTCTATTTAACAACTCAAAAGAGAATTTTTAAGACTGAGATGAATGCAGAACAGTGGAACATATTTTATCTCTGTCCATAAAACATTATTTTGTAAGGAGTATATGGAGAATGGCAAAGTGATCATCAGCACATTAAGATGTATAACTCTGAAAATTAATTATTTCTCCAGTACAGTCTTTGAGAGTTTTTTCCAATATATAATAAGTAAAATATTCTGTAAAGATTATGAATTTAAATGGGCTCCTACAGTTTAAAAGAGAAGAGGATTATGATCACTAGCAGGTGACTTCTTTTATCTATCATAAATACTGGATTCAAACTATGGATAAATTAGAGAATTATACTGTAATATTAACAAATACCTGTGCTACTTAAATAATTCTAGAGCTTGGACTAAGAACTACACTATCCTTATCTTCTTTATTTAAAAATCTCTGCTAATCTGAAAATTTCAAAATATAATTACTTTATAAATTATTAAAAATACATGATGTTCATGTCAGAACATAATATGGTCAAGTAGCATTTAATCTTCTAATTCCCAAGCAATTCCACATTCTGACTTCAAAACTTTTCAGAAAGTGTAATGATAAGCCCCAGAGGTTCTTTTCTCAGTAACACAATAAAATATGCCTTGGGCCATTTATCTTATCTAAGCTGAACTTGATTAGTTTTTTTTTTCTTTTAAATGAGATAACTTGAAAAGTAAATTTTGATATTTCTGGCAATAATTCAAAATAATTGCACACATGTAGACTTGTACACAACAGCTATTAATACACAATGAAATAACCAAGCAGTCGGCATTAGGTTTTCTGTGGAGCATATGAAATGTTCTTGGTGTAAATTAGAAAGATTTGACAGATGTAAAGCTACATAACACAAAAAGCATTTCACAATCAGAATTCACTGCAAAAACACGTTTGTAAAATGTTCCCAAATATATTATTTTGAACTATGTGTGGACTGGTCAATGATTAAAATATAGGAAGAATTGGAACCTTTTTCTAGATTATTCATTTGCAAATACTACAAATTAAAAAGAAAAAAACACAATGATTTCATTTGTTGTTCACTTTATTCTAATAATTTGAAAATGTGCTCATTTTATTACTTCACTTTAGTATACAGTGTTGTAGACTTAGCCTTAAATGTATTTATCTATGTTAATAATTTACTTGCATTATGGTTTATAATAAACATGATGTATAGAAAATCATATAATGTTTAAGCTTTTTATAACGTAACAACAAAAAATTGGGCTAATGCACGAGTCATGACCTGATTTATAATATTAATAATTTATTAATTTTCATTTAAATCATGCTCCATAATCATAGTTTTAAATTTATCATTATTAACTAAATAACTCTTTTATCTAACAGTAACCTCATTGCCAATTTATGTTCAAGTTTATATATGTTTATTTGAAACATATTTTTATGTTTATTATTTGACTTTGTCAGTAATAATGATTTTGTGAGAATTTGCCCATGATTTAGGACAGCCAATACTGTTTTTATCACTATCACAAATAATTTGTGTGGCATCATAGAAGCTCAGTTCCTGAAGAATCCTCAGATATCAAAATTGGCTATCCAAGAATTGGCAGAGACATTGAAATTGCAGTTATTTAGTTTGGCCCACCATGCTCAGAGAGGTTCACTTAGAATGGTTCTGGAAGCTGTTTTTTTATTGTGTACACTATTCTTGATATAGTGGTATTTGACAGTCATTTTAACTATGAACTGAAGCCAATTAAATTGTTTCTCTGTGGATTTCCTGTGACAGATGCACAGAGGCATCTTATGTTAGCCAATAGACATTGTTTAAACACAACTAAAACTGTTCCAGCATTTATTTTGATGCAACTAGCTAATTTCATAGTTGCAATTTCTGTTGAAATCATAACTTTTAATCAGATCTATTATTCTTGTCTTCTGCTACTTCTTATCATACTGTCATAGTACTTATATGGGAAAACAACTCCTCCCAACAAAAATTTGGGCACATTCTCTTGACTTCATATTAATAGAAGTGCGATTTAAAATGGGAAAGCACTGCATTTTGTTATCTCTGGTGAAGAGAGTAAAAACTCTACAGCTTGAACTAGGAGACAGACGACTATTGGCCTTTTGGTAGTTAGTTCCACTTTGGACTTAGAACAACCAGAAAAACAAATCACAAAAACTTACAGAAGGATTTGTTTAATATGCAAACTCAATTTTTGTAAGTGGCCACTTGTAATTTTCCATATCTCTCAAATTAAGTTCCAATTCATCAAGATTTTAATACTGCTATGAAATATGTCAATTTTAAGTTTAATGCAGAATAAGTAAAATAACTATAAACTTAAATTTTAAAAAGTATTTTAACAAAGTCCAATGAAAGTTACACGCAGCATACTCAAAATATGCAAGAAATTAGCAGAAATTCCTACCTAATTTCATCAATTTGTAATGCCTGGCTCCTATAACATTTCATTTGATTAAAATTACTACATTAGCAGACTTGTGGGCTTTGTTATTCACTGATCTATTTTGTTGTTGTTTGGATATTTTTAGATGCTCCGCCAACTGGTCAGGCACACAGTGTGAAAGGCCAGCCCCCAAAAGCAGCAAGTCTGATCGTATCAGCACAAGTAAGTTTCTCAGATTAATATTTTGGGTAGTGTACATTGCATACAAATCATTTTTATGTCATTATTGAGTGAGGTGAGTCTTAGAAGTCTTCTTCATGGAATGTTATGAGAGATTCACTGCTATCAGGTGTTTTTGAACGAGGAAGCACTGAGCTCACATCTAATTACAGGATCCAGGATGTACATGTTCCTTTAGGCTGGGAGAGTTTATCTCAGATTTGGGGAGTTTTCAGAATCACATCTTCTAACCTAATATAAGCATTTCCTTCGGAGTGTTCATCAGCTGCAAAAGTTGCAGATATCACAATGGCTGTGATAATGCTTCAGGAAGAAAAATAATTCCATGTTTTAATTAGAGCAAAGTGTATTGTCTTTGGAATGCATTTCAATGTGCCATGGGGTAAAAAGCAGACTTTAGTCTGAAAGAGAAGTAAGTTAACAAGCAATTCTTAATAAAGATGTAAGTTGATTTACTGTTTCTCTATGTTTACAGTATTGGTTTGAAGTATGTTAAAACATAGATCAACATTTTTGCTAATCTTTTTCGTGCAGCCATAGTCTTAGGGTCAGGTGTATCTGCATCATCATTGTGTGTTTGTGTATGGTTTCAGATGAGCTGAAATGATGTTATAAAGTTCTTCAAAATAAATGTCTGAAATTCACACATACTGTCATTAATGTGACCGTGAGTGAAAAACCTTTGAAAAATTTGTAATGTCTGTTTCGTGTAAATAAATTTGCAAAGGAACATGTAACATCCTTGAAGGAAGATTGCTTACCTTAGCAATTTTTCCCTAGTCCTTTACAGCTGGTGGGAAGGATTTCATAAAAACAAACAAAGAGCATACTCTTTCAGAGTTAGTGAAAAAGGAAAAGCACTATTAATGTATAAAATATATTATTTTTGTACCCTAGAAGCAGGTGTTCCATGTTTGCTGACATACCCGTTTGTTGTCTCTGCCCCCAGACAGTTTTGATATCATTGTTCAAATTTTGCTAATTTAGAGATTAATTTGGGTTTATTAATAAGCCTAGGCATCTTTGAAAAATGGAAAATAGGTCTATAATAAACAGTCTGGGCATGAATATTTAAATTTGGAAAGGGGAGATAAGTGATTTTTGGTTATGGAGCATTTTGAGTTGATCTTAGAATTTGTGTGCTCTCCTTAGGTCAGGGAAGGGAGAGGCCCCAGGGAAGCTATGAGCATATAATTGTAGGATTACCACACTGGAATTTGGAGTATTGGCTGATAAAAGGTTAGAGGTGGCAAAATGTGTCTTGCCCAATTTGTTACACAAAAGAAAAAAGAAAATATGCTTTATCTCTCTTCCCAGGATTTAGGGCTCAAATATACTACCAATAATAACTCTGGAGGTGTACTAATTTATATATAATTTTATGAACTAATTCAAAGCAATCATTAAGAACATTTATTAATGAAAGAAATGCATTTGAAGTTATCAACCTGTAGAGCATGGTGCCTTTATAAACTGGGAATTGAAAAGATACTTTAGCCTTTCCGATGGCGGTTTCTCAATGATCAAATATAAAGAAGATACACAGCCTTTTAGAGTATCAAAACAATTTAAAATTTTTTTTAAAAACTCTCTGACAAGAAATAGTGTGGAACGTGCACTGAATTTGGAAATTTTGTGTTAGCACCATCCACAAAGGAAATGTTTGGTGTTTGGAAAATGATTTGGAGCTAGAATGCTCCAGGTGTTTCTGTTAGAGAGTGGGGTCTCCAATGATTTGCATCGGCAAATGTAAGGAACTGGTTTTAATTACGTGCAATAGTGCTAAAGAAAAAAACATCAAATAGGGGAAAGAGTTGCAAATAGTTGTAACCCTTTTCCAATGACACTGAAGCTCTTTCTCCCATCACTGATTTAAAGTCATGAAATTTAATAGAAGCATTAGTACATTTTGAAAGGACTATTAGCTACATAAATGTCAAATTATCACCGACTTGAAAAACTTGACCAAATAATCACTCTATTAGATGCCTATCATCAGACATTTATGCTTAGAGAAACTTGCCTCAGTAGCTCTGAAAGAAGGGGAAAGGTAGTTAAACTGACCTTTCCCACCTAATATGATTACCTTTATTCTTTTGGGTAAAATTTAGTGGTTTTGAATGGTTGTCAAACCTTCCCTAAACTTGAGCAGAAGTCATCTACCCAATAAGAAAGATGAAGCTTTAGACATGTGTTTTCAAATCTGCATTCCCATCATCAGTGGGTCTTGGTTGGCATATTCCAGAATACACTGCCTCTGTCTGCCTAATTAGCCTCAATTTACACAAAGATTCACCTTTCTGATTTGTGCATGGCTTTCATAATCATCTCTGAATAGTGGCAGAGATGTTTACTGACTCTTGATGTTTGAAGTATCTAAAAGCAGCTTGTGGAATTAGGTAGATCTATTATCTAGGGCTTGGTGCTCAGGTTCCATTTTAAAAATCTAGTCTGACTCTTCTGAAGATATTTTCAAGAGCTTTAAAGTCAGGATGATAAAATATTCATTGAATATTTCTATTTTAAATTTACATAAAATTTTAAAATTCACATAAAATTGAGCATTGAATGCTCAGTATTTGAATTGTGCTTTTTGTGGTATCTGCTGAAATTATGAAAGATAAAAATATACTCATCATTTCTGGGGCAGTAATGTAGGGATACTATATTTTACTATAGTGACAATAGGGGCAAGCTATCCGTTAGGGGGTCATTGTATCTCTTTTTCTACTTTGTCCTTATCATTTTTATATCATGTATTTTATTTTAGTACTAAAATTAACTGGTTATATGATACCAGAATTTATACATTTGCAAATATAGAAATATAAATGAAAGATTCAAGAAAAGAATGTCTTCTTTCCACAAAGCAAATGTTTATCAAGTCTCTGCTAAGTGTCAAGTATTGCACTAGATCCCAGAGACAGGACAGTGAGGAGGTCAGACAGTGCCTCTTCTCATGAAGCTGAGGTTCTAATGGAGCAAACAGCAATAAAACAAGGAAGCAAATAAAAAAGGAAATATTGAAATGTATAAAGTAATTGTAAGCTTTTATTGGTCTGTGAAGGAAGCAAAACCAAAAAAAAAAAAAAGGGGGGGGGGGGGGGAGAAAAAAGAATGTCACGGACAAAGTAAGGCCAGGAGTGATTTCTCTGAGGTCGTGATACCTCTTCAGCTGAGACTTGAGGATCAAGGCACAAGAATAAGAAACAGCAGGTACAACTGTGGAGCGACAAAGGGTTGCGCATGTCCAGCAGACTGAAAGAAAACCGGTGTGCTAGCTTCAAGAGGACAATGGGGAGAGCGGTACGAACTGAAGTTAGAGATCCAGGACAAAAATGATAGACAGACACTTGACGATGACTGGGTCACCTTTACTAAGTTGGGAACATATTTTCTTTATAACTTTTAACATTACAGTGTACCAAGATGCTTAAGAGAGAGCATGCTAATTTCAACAAATACATATACCTCATATTTATACATATCTATAAACATAAACTTAAGAATAGGGTATAGACCAATATGTCAAAGGAAGTCATTGTAATTATATAATTTATGCTGATATTATTCTACTGTAAATTTGATCGGTAAAGAAAATGCTCTCTTCCTCTGAACTTCATGACACTGAACACTTCTGGCTTCTCTCCTACCTCTTTTGAAGCAACTCTGTCTTCCTTGTGAAATTATTTCCTTTCTATTCTGTCTGGTTAATTTACTCTCTGTTTATCACTAGACACTCTCCTTGTCCTGGATATACTCTCCTTGCCAAGACATAGATTCTTGACATGATTTATCAACTGTTTATTTCCCCCAAATTCCTATGCTCAAAATCGATTTATCTCCTAAGTTTGAGACATATATCTCACGGCTTGCTTGATATATCTGTATCTATATCATCTATACTCCACAGGGATCTCAAGTTCAGTCCCCATATGATCTCTTCACTGCCCCCTACCCACGCTCATTTTCTTATACTGTTTCCCCTTCTGTCCATATGGATGACTGAAAGGCGGTGATGCTTCAGCTGGCTACCGAATCATCACTTAAGTTCCATTCTTAACGTTCTCTTCCGTTCCTAAGTTGAATTAAACAATATACTCAGTAGATGTTACTTCCTAAATTTTCTTCAACATTATCTTTGAAAAACAATAGTACAATTGACCATCTGATTTATATGGTTACATACTCCATAATCTCACCTCTGCTTTCCATTGCAGTCACATCTCCTTCCAGCAGTGTCTAGCCCAACTGTTTTTCCTTAGTCCTAATCCTCTTGGCCTTTAAAGTCTCTTCACAGACTGCTAAAGACTTGCTCCTAAAGCCCCAGAAATACACTAGTCATCCTCCAGCCCAGATCTAGTTGGATGCACCTCCTTTATATTCCCAGAACAATGCATACTTCCCTAATACAGTATTCATGCTAATACAGTGAATGAACCCATTTGTTTGTCACCTTCTGTTACACGTCAAGCAACATGAGAGAAGGGTCATTTTTATCCTCAGTGTGAAACAGAGTATATATAGTGAGGGTCTGGAGCATAGCAAGCACTTAAGATATACTTGCTAAATCAGAATTGAATGTGTAGACCCTGTGATATCCTAAGAACTGCATTATTTGCAGAACAAAGAGAAAGAAATTGTGCCCTTAAAGATCTCAAAAACAAATTGATATAACGTATTGTGAAAAGTGCAAAATAAAAGCATGCATAGAGTGCTATGAGAACATATATTTTGATTGTTTTTATTAAGAGTGTATGTAGGACTTTCTATGATTGGCATAATCCTACCTATAGCACTATGTGATAGCTAGTAATGATGATACCAATATTATAGATGAATAAACTGAGACAAATACAATTAATATGCCTAAGCGTATGTTGGTAATAAATAGTAAAACTGAGATGTGAATAGAGGTAGCCTTGCTCCATTATCTCAACTGCTATGCAGTACCAGCTCTTGTATGGAAAGGGGCTCAACACAGCACTTTAAAAATACAGTTCTTTCTTCTAATGGAAAAATGTTGCATAATGAGGCTTCAGAACCATGTTGCAAAAAAAGACTTGCTCTATTTTTTATGAGAAACTTGAGATACTCTCTCCACCCTTAGTAAGTACTGAGTGTATATTTTTCAATCAGTTTCTAATAATCCACTAACAATGTACTGTTAAAAAAATCACCTGCAAAAGGGCTTGATCATTTTATTTACAGTATAAAATCTACTACCATATATACTACTGGGAAAAATACTTATTTTTATAATATCTATAATACAATTTTAACAATATCTGTGGTTTCCAGCAATAAAAACTATTTTATAAAAATTAAAAATTAAAAAAACTTGCCAACCTTCTAGCCTGCATTATTTATCAGTGACATTAGGCATTATAGTAGTTACCTTGATTGGTTACATAAACATATCAGAAGTCTAGGCTCTTAAACACAGTGCTGTAATATATGGGCTTGTAACTGCCATCTGTGATGGGAAAAAAAAGAAACCCCTTGTTTTCTATCATAGTTAATTAACAGCTTTCTACTTCATAGGAATGCCAAACTGTAGAACAAATAAAATCTATTTTAAAAGATATTTTATAATTGCATTGAGAGAAAATAAATTTTATATACCTTAAAATTATGTTGATAGGTATTTTACACCCGCCAATTTTACACAAATTTTAGGGAAAAAAATGAAGTCGATGTATTGATAAAGTCATGATCAATCAGCTGAAGTCATAGTTTATGAAGAAAGCAAGCTGTTCACTGGTATTTAAAACTTGTGAACAAATGTTAATCACCATCCAAGGTGCCAGATTCTCTGCTTTCATTAATTACTAATAAATTACAGATGCATATAAAGTTCACGTTCCCAAAACCAAGGAGATAATATAGTAATATCAAACACACTATGTTCTCATAACTACATGAAAAAACAAAATGACTTTTATATTTTAGAAAGCGTCTAAAGAAGTGGCTAGAAGAGATGGTTATATTTTATGCAGGTTATTTCTCGAAGTTCTAAATTAGATACTTATACATGAAATTTTCTTAATGAAGCCTTTTTGGTATTTTGGCAAGTGATCTCCAGTATGAATTATCTCACCCAGATATCCTCTGGCTATAAAGCTATTAAAACAGATCTATATATTTATAGTAAAGTTCTAAGTGGCTGGTTATTGTGCATAATATCACCATTAATTTCTACCTTGATACTTTCATATGCACATGTATTTGCAGGAAAAATTCATAAACTTTAAGAATTTGTAGTGTTCTGTTCTTAATCCATTCGAGATCTCCATGTGAAATTTTAATTAGTTGTTGGGCTGCTTTGTTTCTTAGGTTAACCAGTGATTAAGTTGACTTGATTATATCAACCCGAGGTCTATTCAAAGTAGACAAAAGCCTTTGTTTCATGTGTACTAGTCATTTTTCAGTAAGAAAAGTTAACATTAGCTACTTCATACTTTCCTATTATCAGGCAACTCTGTATTCAGCTTTCTTCCTACAATAAATGGCATTTGGGTGTATTCTCCTGTGGGTCACATTATTAGCAATGAGCTATTTTTGTCTGCCTACTCAGTGACTAAAAAAAATGATTACCCAATTGCCAATCTATTATATAAATGGAAAGCAAAGTCTCAATTTTGCTACTTCCCTGTGCTCAGATGTATATAAACAAGTACTAAATTTCACTGACCACTTTTGAAGATTGATTCTGTTAGTGCTAGTACTCAAGATCATTCTCATATATGTGGAAGAAAGGAAAATAATTGACATTTGCCACATAAGCCAAGCTCCCAAAATATGTTTTGCTAAAACCATTCAGGAACTAGAACATGAGAAAGAGAACTTTTTCGCCCCCTAATTTTGTGGAATCAAGCTAACTGCCCTTTGTGGTAGGTCTTTTTGTCTCTGTTTTACTGTTGAAGAGCATGAGCCTCAAAGTATTTAAGTAACCTACTTAAGGTCTCATTTCAAGTAAGTTGTGAAACCAATATTTACGCCAATGTCCATCCTAATCAAACACTGATACTCCTTCTGCCACATAACTTGCCACATAGACCCATGGCCAGAAAGTTTGGATAGCTAAAGGAACAAAACTAAGGGTGGGAATGTACTCAGTGAAACTGTGTAAATATTTGTTCAGTCATAGTTGATTTAAAAAGACATACTAGCATATATTTGCATCATTTAAGTAAATGTGTGTGATGGGAAACACTAAACTCAGACTGACAGAAAACTCAGATCTCTAATCTCAAGATATTTAAATGCAACACATAAATGAAAGGAGGTATCTAAAGAAATATTTTCAGCAGATCAAGTATTTAAGAGGAGAACAATTTTCCAATAACATAATTATGAACCAGAAATATAAACATTTTGGCTAAGCTTATTTTTGTTTTATCAATGTAATTTGATGCAATGAAGTATGTAGTTGTATCAGTTTTTACTTCATTTTATTTATTTCTTCATCTATTCACTCATTTATTTTCCAGGAAGCATTGCCATCATTGTGCCTCTCGTCCTCTTGGTGACTTTGATAACCACCTTAGTAATTGGTTTAGTGCTTTGTAAAAGAAAAAGAAGGTAAGATAAAATGTTCTAGATTAGCAGTAGTCAATAAATCACACAACTAGATACAGAAACATATATAATTTTTATTTTTTAAAACATGATTTAGTTATTTCAATTGTAAAATACTATGTTTTTGAAATCATTTTATAACTTTCTTTTATTTTAAGTGATTATAAATTAGACAAATCTTCTCCCATGTTATGTTAATGGAATGGTCCATTTATTTACTCTAGCAAAACTAACAGGAGATCATATTATTCAGAAGTTAAGTAGAATTTTACATTTGCAGTTGTCTTTCCTTGAAATAGCAAGGGTCTCTGAGGAGCACCTTTTTATATTAATGTGTATGATTAGTAATGTCAATCCAGTGATTCTGATATGCATATGTACATCTCCAATTTGTACATTTCATTGACAAATAGTGCATTGATTCACTTACTTTATACCTCACTAGAAGTATCATTACAATTTATTTGAAAATGCACTTATAGATCTGGAGGAATAGGTTGTCTACAGAAAGATAAGAGGCAAATGCGCTCATTTATAAATCAATGTGAAAGAATGTATACACATGGACATAGAGTATAGGGTGATAGCTATTGGAGATTTAGAAGGGTGAGGAATGAAAGTGAGGTGGATGATGAGAAATTACTTAATGGGTACAGTGTACATTATTTGGGTGATGGACACACTAAAAGTCTAGACTTCAACACACTGTGCAATATAACCATGTAACAGACTTGCACTTGTAGCCCTCAGCCGTAACTAAATAATTTTAAAAACTGAGAGCTTTTGACTTACTATCTGAATAATGTAAGACAAAATTCTAGTCATGTGACTTAGTGATTGAAAACAATCTATTTTAGAGTTTTTTTAATCACTATTTTGTTGGGATGGTTTTTAGAATGAAGGAGAAAAATTAGAATTTAAAAAGATAATTGATTGGTAAACATTCAATTTCAAATGATGTGGTATTAGTGATTTAGGAGGTATTTATTTCCAGTGTATTTTTATAAAGTTAAAACAATCGGGAAAATAGCCGATCAAAATACTACTTTTTGTTCCCGTTACTTGACAAATGTAATTTAGTCAATTTATTTCAAAATAAGTCAGGAAATCTATAAATATGATAATTTTATAAACCTTGGTTGTGATATTTATACAAACTCACACATATTGATGTTCATATATTCTAGGACAAAAACAATTAGAAGACAACCTATTATCAATGGAGGAATAAATGTAGAAATTGGCAATCCATCTTATAACATGTATGAGGTAGATCACGATCACAACGATGGAGGTCTTTTAGATCCTGGCTTTATGATAGACCCAACAAAGGTAATATGTCTTAAGATAATGGGCACTGAGCACTGACATTCTTAAGTCTTATCTCTGTTTTATGGTTCTGAATTTCACTAAGTTTTTCTGTTATCTGAAGTTAGAATAAAGGACTTTCATATGTGTTGAATGATATAGCCTCTTCTAAAGAGAAAGTACAATTATGGACTGCATTCACCTGAAGCTGCAAGTTAGTATAACACATCTTAGAAACATCTATTTATTTACTTAGTTCATTTATAAACATGTTACTTATTTTTATTTGTTTTTTATTGAAAAATGACTCATTATCTAACTTTGTTCCCATAAAGTAAACAAAAACTCCTTTAAAAAATATTTTAGTATTGATACCATACAGCAAACTGTTTAGATCTTCTTCATGGGATGGATAGATATATAGATAGACAAAGGTCTGAATTTTAAGATTGAAACATATACAAGGAAAGACCAATAGATACACAGCCTCTAGCAATATGCCTGACAAGTAGTTTGGTGAGACATTTTCTTTTCTACCCCCTCTCTCCCAGTATTCCTTACAGTGTAATACAGTGTGGTTCTATGGAGTTTTAATTTGGTAGGAACTGGATACTTACAAAATAATTTTGTTTTCATCACTTCAGACATTGCATCATTCTTTTAAAATGTATTTATTTTTTGGTTTTGATTGATGCATAATAGGAAATCAGTAGGTAGAAGAGATATCTGTACTTCCATGTTTTTTACAGCATTCTTCACAATAGCCAAGATATAGAATCAGCCTAAGTGTGCAACAACAATGCATACTATTCAGACAAAAAAAGAAGAAAGAAAAGAAGAAAGAAAAAGAAAGAAAGAAAGAAAGAAAGAAAGAAAGAAAGAAAGAAAGAAAGAAAGAAAGAAAGAAAGAAAGAAAGAAAGAAAGAAATCCTTTCATTTGAGGCAAATGGATGAAGCTGGAGGATACTGTTGTATGAAATAAGCCAGGCACAGAAAGACAAATACCACATGATCTCACTCACATGTGGAATCTATAGAAGTTAATATTAAAGCAGAGATTAGAATAGTGGTTACTAGAGGGTAAAGAGGGGAGAAAAAAGGAAGAAAGATGTCGGTCAATGGGTACAAAGTCACAGATAAAAGGAATGAGTTTAGGCGTTCAATTGCACAGTTGGGTGACGGTGGTTAATGATATTGTATTGTATATTTCAAAATAGCAGGAAAAGAGGATTTTTAATGTTCTCACCACAAATAATCATAAATATATATGAGGTGACAGATATACAAAATACTCTGATTTTATTTTTCTGCAATGTATATGTGTATAAAACATAACAAACTATAGTATCTCATAAATATGTATAGCCTATGTAAAATAATTCTCTATTCAAATGTGTTGAGGTATTA